CCTATTCTGAAAGGACACTTAAAGCTCTAATGTGAGGAAAAGCCACTATCCCAGTGAAGTAATTGAGATGTGAGTTGGCTTGCTTTTTAGAGAAAGAACCTGATTTTAAAATAATTATTATATTGTGTAAAGATACACACTGAGCAATTTGTTCTCATGCTGACTTCAGATGCGACTCATATTACTTAACCTGGCAACAGAAGTTAATTGAGTTCAAGGGAGGACGAAGCCTCCTGAGAGTAGTCCAAGCTGACAGATCCTACATAATTGCCCTAACTACTACCTCTGCTGCCTGCTGACCTTAAGTTAGAGGTTCCTGTTTGCCCTTACGGAAGTACTACCTGCCCCCAACTACAAAGAGCAAGATTGTGGCTCAATGCTCTTCTGACCGTGTCTCTCTTCTTAGGGACAGTCAACTGCCAATTTGTGTTTGAAACTGAAGCCTTATCTAGAACAAAGCACTCAAAAAGAGACAGATCTGTATAACTAAACCAGCGTGGACTACAGCTGCATGTGCTTCCCTCGGTACACAAGAGCCTACAAAACTTGAAGTGGGAAGGCATTTGTGAAATACAAGAGGGCAAAGAGAAGCCTAAAGTTAACTACTTGGGTGTAAGGCTGAACAGTCACAGAGTCTATAGGATTTGCTATTTCTAGTAGCAAAGGGATGTAAAAGACAAAGGAATGCTTCATTAACAAAGAGGCTGTCTTACTTGTAAGAACAGACAGAGGCAGAGAAGGCGTTTTCAGGAATTTAGGTTTCAGCATAAAGCAGAGTTAATGAAGGAGGGACATTATCAGTAAGTTTGGCCGCATATTGTTAGGTTTAGTTTCCTGACATAATACAGCAGAGTTTACTCTTGCAAACTATATGCAGTAAGGTATGTCCTTGAGAAATTACTCACCTCTATTCTGCAGGGTTTTACATTTAAAGTCATATTCATCTTGCATATCCTCTAGTGTCTTGATGTCTTGTTCCACATCCTATAAAGCACAAATGAGGGTGGCTGCAACTGTTCAATGCTTTCGTGTAATGCAAGACTACTGATGATTAGGAACTGCCCGGTGCCAGCCCTTTACAGAGAAGTGCAGTTTTGTAGCAATGCCTTTTCCTGGAACTCACTAACAGGAAATATCCCTAGACTTAGTTGCCTTCTATTCACTCTCCCTCCCTCTTCTCAGCCAACTAAAATCTGTTAATTATAAAATATGGAAAAGCCCTCATTGTCTACCCATATAAGTTCACAGGTTTTAGGAGAATCTAGGCTACAGTGGAAAAAATTGGAACAGCACACAGCATTTTAAACAAACTCAAATTCTTAGGTATTGCTTGGAGAAAAGCTTTCTGTTGTGACAGTATTTGTTAAGACAATAAACGTTTATATGCTAAATAAAAATCTATCTTCTGGTTAACAACAAATTGGTCAGTATATGATTTCTTAATTTTTTTCCTCAGTTGCTAGTATTTCAGATGGGTAAAATGTTTTTATTGCTGAAACTTAGGAACAAAACATTTTATCTTGCTAAACCAGTCAAATACCAATCTCTACTATGGTGCTACTGACAAATAATTATTTCCTGTTTTCAGACAATCACTGGTTATAGACTTGAAAACCAAACCATTAGTTATTTTTATTTGTCATTTTAGAAAGTCTTGTATACTGAAAGCTTTTCAACATCTGTGAATCAACAAACACTACTTTAAATAGTTATACTTACTATAACACTGTTTTTTACAGCCTTAACTTTCACATCAAGCTCCTTCTGTTTGTCCAGCATCCCAATCACAGTGTTCTGTATGCTCCCAACTTCCATCTGAGGGAAGCAAGCAGAACAACAGAAGTCAAACTAGAGTGACCTATGATAGCAAAGTTTTTTCATGAATGTAAGTTGGTGGCTTTTGTTGACAAACAACCTGATGAAGCATGACTTGTTCTGATAAATCATACTAAGGTTTTATAATCAAAAATTGAGTTCAGCTGAATTTGCAAGAAATAAGGACTAAAAATGCCCGTTGTGTGGTGGTTCTGCATTTTTTTCATCATAGCAATAGAAAGCTATAAGCATATTCTGTTTTTTACTCTCCGCACAAATCCATTCTTTTGTTTGCTTAGCTTCTGAATGTATTTCACGAAAGCAACTACCCTGAAGGCTGGATGATGTCTACATCAAATATTAGGTTCATCCATACAGGATATGGGGAGAAATGGGCTAAGAGCAGGAATAAGATAGGTCTGTGTACAGGCAAATGGGGTAACTTGGTATGAAACTTCTTTCCTAGAGGGCATTCATGAATATTTTCGATCTCTGTATAGTTTCTTTGAGAGCTGACCTCAGTATCATTCAGGAAGTTTACTGCATGACATCACTCAGGGAGAGTTGCCATAATTTGAAAACCAGGATTTTTCATTCCACACATTAACAGTACCACTGGTGTTAGAACCTTGTTGTTCTGCCAACATGGGACAGTCAGGTATGCATTGGTGCTCTGATTAATGCTTCCACTTAAGCTAAGGTAATCCAAAGTATTTTGGTAAACTATCAAAGGTCCTCCGTCACAGACTTAAGTCAGACTATTAAGGTAATCTGAGCGTACCCTAACATTGGGGTTCTCTTTTGGTTTTTATGATGCTTATAATTGTGCTTGCTCTACATTTTATCTTGTCAGCTTTGGGAAATGAGAACACTTACCAGAAAGCAAAGGTAGGGCACGGTGTTGTACCTAGTGCTAACAGTATGTACAGGAGGACTTATTTCCCTTTTTGATTCACCCAAATATATCACATGCTGGAAAGGCAGTTGTGAGTGCTTTCTCATGAGCTAGAACAGAAACTGAACAGCTGTGGCTGCAGCTACAAGGGCTCTGTCAGAGTCACATTCTTAGAGGAGCTGCTTTTGGACACAGTTGCATTAGGCCCCTTGTTGAATGCCTATGCCTGAGTGCTCTTCCCACTCCACCAACAAGCACTCAAAAACTTGCCCTAAAGGGAAGTATTTCAGTATCAGAACTTAACGTGCTTGGTCAGTCATCACTTTGTTACACAAGTAGATTACATCTAGCTATATAGTTTGCATGCCTTTCCCAACTGCAGAATTTTTTTATTACAAAACAGTTCTCCTTGCAAAGAAAAAAACCCAAAAAGATGAAAAATCAGAGAACAGATGAGGAAAGGGAAGAATACTGCATTTCCTATGGTTCAGGAGAAAGGAATAGGCTTCATTTAAAACCAAAAATAAAGAAATACTTGGAGATAACTGGGAAAGAGAATGATGCATCATTTTCCCAGAGAGACAGTCCAGAGATGCATCAAAGCTCAGCTGCTTAGTACAGAGTAAATCCAGGACTAAAATGCAGCAGAAAAAAGCTAAAATCTTGCTGGACAATAAAGCAAGCATTAATTATTAAATTGTAATAAAATCTGATGAGCACATCAGGCTATACTACAGAACATAAAAAAAAAGCACAGCTTTTACATCACTCAAGGAATAAAAACTATTTCCTGGCCATTTCCCCTCCAAATGCTTCTTACAGCAAAAACAAGCCACATTGTCTAGCTGATATGTATCAGTGTTCACTCTTGATTAAAGACAGAAGAAGCATATTGTTCGGCAGAGATAGGATAGCCTGTTTCCTCTTTCAGTCTTCTTCTACTCTTTCAGTCCCAAATAACAGGAAAAGGTAGCTATGACTGCAGTAGACATTCCAAGACTGTTACCTGATTTGACAACTGAGCACTGTTCAGTATTTTCCTCTCTTCTCTCAGACAGCTGTGGATGATCATTGCCATGTGTATTGGGTCTTCTTGAAAGTTATCCTGGCATTAGAGACAGTCTATTGTTAAAGTTCATACCCATAACTCCTTGTCATTCAGTAAACCAACTGGCAAAAAAATTAGCAGGTGACTCTGCGTGAGCCTTGGGGCATGCATTGGTCATAGCATGCTTGAAGACTACAGGGAGTGGGACAGCTGCAACCATCTCAAAGAATGAGTTTCTATTTTAGTTCATTAGTGTACGAAGAGATGGGACTTGGCATAAAAGAAGAGGAAAGGGTCAGAGACATTACTGGGACAAGTGAGATACTACCTTACAGTCCTAGAGAGAGCTCATACCCTCTCTCTTGAGCCACCCTCCTGCACATTTGAAGTATAGCTGCCGTTTTTGAAGGGTGGTTGTCCTAGTTTGACAGGTACAGTGCTTGCTCAGTGATGTAAAGGAGATATGTTAGCTGCCATTTATGAACACACAGTCAAGGCTGGACACAAATTCAACCTTACTGTTTTACATGCGTATGAAGTTGAAACATGCTCTGGATTGAGCAGGGTGGTGCTGCCCTAGGGGGTCGCTGGGCTGTACCAGCCCTCTTGACTGGTATCTCATTGCTGATCTTCCATTGCTTGGTTATGTTCTCTCCTCCTCAGAAAGCAAGTCCCTTAGTCACTGATGTATGGTGAGAAAAAGCTAGCTGTGTGGGAAATAGGCTGTGGAGAAGGTGACTCTATGGAAGATGCTCTGCCATAGAGCCCTAGAGGGAGGACGGGAGGACCGACTAATGAAGGTAATTAAGTTCACTAAGGATATGTTCTGCACTGCCACTTGCCACCAATTGCTTTGGCCCTTTTCTTTGTCAGTATAATACAATGCACAGAAGTGCTGTCTAACGACCAGTCCTTTACTATTAACTGTACTTCTGCAGTTACATGGAAAGGATTTCTTCCCGTGTTTCTTTATGCATTGCAGCTTTTTAGTACATTGAGGAAACCAGCTGGGGAAGGGATGGGGTAAATGAAACTACATGTGAGTAAGCGCTCCAAATACATTACAGTAAACATGTTACAAACTTCAAGTTTCCTTTTCCTGGAGTTCTTAAGAAACTGTACTGGTAATGAAACTGCAACTTTCTAACTGTAGACAATTAAAACAAAAAATAGGATAACATTTGAATTCTGGCTTTTAAATTAGGATTCTCACACATTCTCTGCAAAAATCCCTAGCAGAAGTTTGCTTAGAGGCATCCAATTGCACTACTGAAGCAATTCAAGCAAATGTATAGGCATGTAACTCAGGCATACCTGAAGATTACGTTTGCTTTTCCTTATGTTGTGTTGCAGCAAAAAGTTGTTTTCTATCAAGAATCTACTAAATTGATCATCAAGCTGTGACAGCAGGTCATGGAATAACACCGTAGCAAAAGATACGTTGTTGGCCGCGTGTTCCCTAGAATAATTTAAGGCATGCTTGTGTTAAATACATTTTCAATACAGCATTCAAGAAATGCATCCAGGAGTACTTTATTTTTAATCCCCAACTCTAGTTGTAGTATATGCAAGCAGTAAGAATTACCTTCAAACATAAGCCAGTTTCATTCTCTCAACTTTGACTTTCCTTGATACAGAAATGTTGTTTCCCTCTGTATTATTCTTGCCACATTCTGTGCAAACCCATTTACTCATTCCATTCACATAAAGAAGCTAAAAGTGAACCTGGTGCACGTTGTACCACTCTTCTAAAAGAAGACACTCCAGAGAAATCTTGGCAAAAGTTCAAAGTCTGTCAACAGTGGGAGACTGAACTTCCAAGGTAGTAACTGATCAGTCTTAAAACGGCCGCTTGTGTTACAGACCAACCAAGGGAAATATGAGATAGTACGCTTGTTACTCTAGGTGTCAGGCCCCTCTAGAAAGCCCTGAAGAGGGGCAGAAACACAGGCCATAGCACCCACACAGCTACTGAAGCATCCTACCAGTAAAGGTTCACCTAGAAGCTTGCTTCCCCAGTATTCTTCTGCTGCCTGTAACTGCACGTATGACACCGTTGCTTATTGCACAACCTGAACGCCAATTTCTATGCTTACCAGTCCTGGTTTTCCAGCCACTGTGCCAGGTACTGCCTGATCTCCATAGGAAAGCTGTCATCATACAGCTGGTGAACTTGCTCCAAAAACTTGGAATCAAGTTGCTGTAGCTGATACCACTGAGTCATCCTGAGGAGGGGTGGGAAAATAATCAGTGTAAACGTTTAAGTACTATTTGGACTGAACTGGTGAGATGTAACTCATTGGAAGTTTTCATGACCATTGGCAATATTGGGGGAGTAGGAAGGAAAAGTGTTTCCAGCAAACAAAACCATTTTATTTTTAGCTGTGTGACAGCTTTAGAAAGCTAATCATTAAAACTGAATACAGCTGCTTCTGTGCTTCTTTTAATAAAAAAAATTTGCAAATTAAGACAGTGCACTACTTCATGAAGAATAACTCAAAGCTAAATCGCGCTTCTCTATGAAGACTTGTTTTTTTTTTTTTTTTCTTTGAACGCCTTTTCACAGTATTTAGGGTACTGGTAGTGCTACCACTCTTTTTCTTAGTAGAGATATGGGAATGAGGACCTGTGTGTTTAATACCTGTACTCTGCAGGATCACGGTCCTGTATGTGGAGTTTCACCTCTTCCTGGTGCAGATGTACTCCCCATGACTAAGAGTGTGAGTGGAATTTCAAAGAAACCTCTACAGGCCCCTTTTCAGGTGCTGTTTGTGTTGCCACTTGCCTGCTCTGAAAATGGACTAGATCTCAAGTTACTTTAAATGGAGAAGTATTGCAAAGATGTTTTTTTCTACTTGCATGCTTTAGCTCCCATGACCAAATTTTCAGGCTAAATTCAAGTAATCGATGCAGCAGACACAGGTTGCTTAAAATGAACCAATATGACAGACAGAAGCTATGCTGTACAGTAACACTTCTATGATAGAGTGGCCCGATAAACCCTCCCTTGCTCCCTTTGTCTCCTGCCAAATCCCATTAGTGTTTGTATGCCCGTTCTCTTGGCTGCCAAGCGGCACACGCTATGTGTGAGAAGCCAATGAGAGTTAAAAATGCTATTACGCTTAAAGTGAGGGCTTTGAGCATTTTTATGTGCATGGGATTCAATTACAGGTAACACAGCATTTTGAGTACATTGTAGTGGCACCAAGGCCAACAGTTAAACATGACATGTGTGAGAGAAGCTGGAAGAAGTTGTCAAAATACTAAATTTGTCAAAATACTAAATATAAAATACAGTTAGGCTGGTTTTGGGGGGGGTGTGTTGGTGTTCTTTTTTCCCTAGTGCTTAAGTGAAGATGTACTCCAATCTTCCTGCATCTTAAAGCAACCAGAAACTACTTGGTAGTAGCGGCAGAGAACTATCCACAGAGCTGGTTACAGAGCAGTATGGTAACACAGCAAATGTAGTCCTTGGGGCTGCAACCAGGGAAATGCTGAAAAAGTGGGAAATTAGCACCTTTTGTGGAAAAAGCATTAGAGAGACCGGTACCGGGATACAGGGCTCAGCCTGCTCTTGACAAACGGACAAGCGAAGTGGCGTAGGATGGAAAACCCATTTTGCTGTTCTGCCTTCCCTTGGGTAAGGGCAATAGGACGGCAAGTGTGTACGCATCCCTGGAGAAGAGAGGCCTTAGCTGCAGGGGCGTCCTCCGCCGTTAAGCTCCGTCTCTTTTCCTGCCTGCACCCTACCTACGTTTAACCCCGCCGCCTCCCAACAATTCCATTCTTCGTGTCGCTCCCGGCTGATCGCCGCCAACCCACGCCGAGGCAGTTCGGGAGCAAAGGGCGGGGAACAGCCATCCCTGCCGCCGGGGAGCCTCGCACGGCTCACTGCGGCCGGACGGGCCCGCGGGGCGGACGGCGCTCCCCGGTGCCGCGTCCTGGATTTCCCCGCCCCCTTCTCGCCGCGGCCGTTGACGACCGTTAGCCGACGACCGTTAGCCCCCGACCGCGCGCGCCGCTCGCACTTACACGTGAGACGAGGCTGCGCTCCGGATCCGCGCCGCGACCCTCGCCTGCTCCGAGAAATACCCGCACAGCCGCGGGGCGGGGGGGGGCTCGCCGCGGGGCCAATCAGAGCCCAGTCCACGCGGCCTCGGCCAATGGACGCGCGGCGGCGCCGGGCTGCCCCGCCCACAGTGCTTTCCCTTCCGCGTAGGGGAGGGGGGAGAGTTCCCCGGCCGCCGCTCCCCCCTCCGCTGCCGGGGCCGCCGGGCACCCCGAGGGGCTGCGTTGGGTGCCTGCGGCCGGCCGCCCCTAGTAACCGCCCAGGGCTTGCAGGCAGAAGCACCGCGCGTATAACGTAGAGCGTTAGGAGCAGGCTGCCCAGCAGCGCGGCGATGCTGGCACCAGCCGGCGCAGCAGAAGCGGGGTGAGCGCCGTCCCCGAGGACAGGCCTCCGCGCCTGGCGCGGCTGGGCAGCGTGAGAAGTCTGGAATCGGGCGAGGGGGCGTGCAGCCGCCGCCGGGGGCTAAAGCACGTTTAAGAAGCAGGGTCCGTGAGCAGCTGCAACAGGTGGAAGAGGAGGCCGGGCTGCTGCCCGGGAGGCAGGGGATGGGTTACGGTGCCCGCCCCCCCCCCGCCCCCCCCAGGAAGCGGGGTGACCCTGTCAGGAACGGGGGCTGTTAGGAGATGACAGCCGTTGCCCTGGGAGGACAGATACTGAAGTGTAAAGCTGAGCGGGCGACCTCCAGGCAGCAGCCAAGGAGGGCGAGCTAGCCGGCGGGGGGCCAGTCCGAGGAGGCAGTGGGTTCACTTGCAACGGGCATTCCCCTTATCCCCGGAGGTGCAGCTCCCGATGCCGTTGGCGCCATTCCCCCCGCCCTTGCAAGCCAGCTGCCGCCTCTCGGGTAAGGTTTTGGGAGCCTTTCCCAGCGGCCGGCCCGACGGTCCCCGGCTGGCTCTGGGAGCCGGGCCTCGCCTAGGGCGGCGGGAGGGGGAGCGGCCAGGCGGGAACAGCCGCACCACGTGACTTCGGGGAAAGGCCCGGCTGAGGGGAAGGCGAAAGCGAAAGCTGGGGCGGCCGGGCACGCCCCCCCCGCCCCCCCGCGCCTTCTGCGGGGCTGGCGTGCACCCTCTGCGAGCGGGGTGGTCGGCCTCGGAGGCCAGAGGGGCCGCTTCGGGCCCGGCCCGGCCCTCCCTACCTAGGCAAAAGCGGCTTTTTTATCGGTCACGACTTACGGGGGTTCAAAGCAGTTCTCAACTGTAAGCAATGGAAAGCGACGTGCTTTTCACCCTTGCAGTAAGACAATCTCCCGGTTTTCAACTCCTGTTGGTGAAATAGCCAGTGTAGTGTGAAAAACTGTGGACTATAATATTGTTTATTAAGATGTATGTTAAGCCCAACAAGGATGGTATGAATCGTGGTTTAATCATTCTCCCTGGTTAACTACACTGTTGTCAACCAGTGCCGGACCTCTAATATTGTTGATGCTCATTCTAACCTTTGGGCTTTGCATCTTGAATGGAGTGATTAGATTAGAGGCGGCCCATTTAATGCTGTTAAAAAGGCGATACGAACACCTAGAGGATGATAAAACCAGTAAGGGAGAGACTCTAATTCTCTCCCTAGCCCAAGAGACTGTCCAGCTTGAAGAACCAAATGGTAAAAACTAAAAGGGGGGGAGGTCCCCCCTTACTCCTTGTGTTTTTGTTACATCCTTTGTTTAAAGTCACTGTTATGCAAAATTCCTGAGACCACTTTCTGATACATTGATAAATTACAAATTCCTGAGTGGCGACATCCTGCTAAGTAGACAAGCATGAATCCTTCCTGCCTCAGGCGGGGCCAACATGGCCAGATAAGGAAAGAAACTGATTTACAACGTGAAGGGAGACTGTGACCTTTATCCTCACGACCACCAGAACGATACCAGAATATGCCACGTAGACCAGGGACTACTAAACTATAAAGAGAGACTGTTTGAACTGCTCCGTACGGCAGTTGGCGGAGCAGAGACTCCCCTGTCGTCCAGCGCTGCTTTTGCTCATATTCTACTTGCTATAATTAATAAAATTTTAATTGGATTATGATCCATTGTAGTCTCAATTTATAACAGTAGTGTTAGGCTGCCCCTGGAAAGTCATAGCAGGGGCATAGAAATCTGCGAAGGCAGCCATTGTCTCAACTGTCTGCATTGCATGGGTGGAAGAAAGGCGTGCAAGTGCATTAAAGGGTTGTACAAATACAGTTGCAATTGTTAGTTTACGATCTGTTACTCAGATTTCTGTCAAAGTTCCAGAAACTTCAAGAATACTTACAAACTGCAGGTGGCTGAGAGTTTTAAGCGTTCCTGGCATTTTGTCAGTTGAGAAATTTCTTCCCACGGAGTATCTTTTGATAAATAGGTTTCCTCTTACTTCATATCATCTTTCTCTCAACAGCCTGATTTGCTAGGACACTGTATTGCTACTTGCCACGCAAGGTCTTGTTTGTTCTTGTCTTGTGTATGAAGTGGCAACAAAGACTAGAAGAATTAAAGTCCAGGCTTTGGTGCAGGTCTCCGGAATACTTGGATCCTTTTTGGTATCCTTTGTATCCTTCTCTCTACTCAGATGGAGGAGACGGTTCTTAGTCCGTGGAAGAAACAAGCATGTAGAAGGTCTGCGGGGTAAGCTTCGTGGCATGAAATGCTACCAAGTAGTGGATATAAATGTGGCTATAAATAAAAGCTATAGCAGAAGGTAACTGACAGTTTTTGCATTTGTTTAATTAAAATCATTACGGTGACATGGCAAGACACAAAGCACAGAACAATTTACGTGATTTCTTTTTTCCCCTGTTATTTTTGACTTTGATGCTGCAAAGCACAGTGAAAGCACAAGCACAGTTAGTGAAAGTACCTAAAAGCAGACGTTTTGTTTCTTCTGGCAGTATCTGAGGCATCCCTTTTGGAGTGTTTTTCTACCCCTCCGCCCCCATCATTTTACTAGAGAACCCTGTTCTTACAGCAGCATAAGGAGAAAATCCTCACTTTTTTTATGGAAGGAGGCTTGGGCTGTATACACTTATCTTCTAGAAAATGACTCCAATGTTCCTTTAAAGCAGCAAACTAATTAAAAGTCACATGCCTTTCAATTAAACATTAATCCTATCACTTGCAAAATCTGTTGTAAAACAACAGTGGAAACTGTGATGCCAAAACCCGACCCACAATGCTATTCAGTAACACCAAATACATTGTGTTCAAGTAAAGATTTAAGAGTCTTGAAGAGATGCATTGCGTGGGGAACAGGAAGGAAGGAGAGAGAAGACTGATTCACGTGTCGTGTCTGGACCTTTTTTACAGTACTTCTCATGAAGGTTAGATGGTCAAAAGCATAGGCTACCCCCAATTTTGTTTGTATTAAGGTTGTGAGAATAGGTTAGAATGAAAAGCCATGCAGTAACTGATGCGAGGTGAAGTTAATGTTCGCTGCTTTAGAAGTCTGTGTTACTGCTTGTAGTTCAGACTCGAGATCAATAAAAAGATGGCAAGACTCCTTGTTGTACCTTGAAAAAATTCCATAAAAGTCCAGGTATCCAGGTTTAAGCCAAAATTTGTTTTTATTCATACTGAGCATATAAATTACAGATGTTACCAAACTATATACACAATTCCTCTTGTTCTGGAAAATTATTTATACATGATGCTTTCAGAAAGAAAATTACTTCTATCTGCAGCTTGCTTTGAATCACTCAGATTAATGAAGAGAGACATGTTCATTCATTTAAAATCTATTCCCATGTTTCACAGAAGTATTTCAGTACTCTCCTTCCGTTCACTTAGTTTCAACTGACATCAATAGTATGTGTGAAAGGAGTAAGTAAAAAAGGAGAAACGAAAGTAAAATCCAGGTCTCACTGATGGAAGGAGGTTATGTTTTCATGCTAGATGTCTAATTTGTACCTACTCAAGAAGAGTGCAAGGTGCAAAAGCTCAAGTGTTTGTGTGTATTTTAAGAAATTTGCATGCTTTAACCATATATTCTGCAGACAAGAATTAAGTCTTGAATGAGCCTGCATACATGAAATGCAGTGGCCTTGGAATTGCCTGTTTATTATTCTATTAACAGAGTTTTTAGGGATAACAATGGGGGGAAAAAAAACAACAACAAAATCAAACAACCCAAACCCAGCACTAGACAGTGCCTGAAAGAAAAAAAAGAGTAGTATTTTAAACAGGCAGTTTACCAATTATATAAAAGCTAGTTATTCTGCTTATTAAACAAGTCTCTGACAGGCATGTAATATCCTGTCATATAGCACAAATTGCCCAGTGGCCAGCAAATGCTGCAGCTCTTCAGTAACTATTTTTAAAAACCGTGCTTCCCAGTCCCCATTTATCAGATAGCATCCAAACTCTGTCAGATCAGCATTTTTTCTTTGTAGACTTTCTGATAGTATTTGCTGTAGTATCTGAGTGCTTCATGCACAAATAGATTTACTTCCACAACTATTTGGTGAGAGGGGGGCATTTTCCTAACCCTCTCTTCCAATGGCAAAATAGAGATAGCCTTTTTGACACCACAAGCTCTGTCTCCATTCCCTTTCTGGACCTCCCTTCTCTTGCCAGCCCTGCCTTCTTCCTTCCATAACTTCTGCTCTGGTGGCCGATAAAAATCTATGCTGAAGGTAGCTCATCTTTGGAAAAAAGTAAACCCTGGACACCTATGAGACATTTGAACTCAGGGGGGTGAGAATCTTTGCTTTAGAATAGAAGCTAAACCAATGACAAAATGACGATTAAACAGAAACTATTGAACAAGTAGATCCTAATTTCCCCAAACACATTAATGTCTTCAGTTATCCTTATATGCTATATCCTTTAGTTATCCTTACATGCTGTTTTCAGAAGCAAAATATTTTGTTCTTATACTTGTGTTTACAGCAATTTTATGGCCGTTGATTCTGAAAGTAAAATTTATCGCTGCTGGACCCTACTGAAGTCAAACAACCTCCAAGCCAGAAAAGAATTGGCCTTTTATCAGTGAGGACAGCAATTCTGACTTGCAGGAGGCTGTTTGTAATCCTGAGGGAGAAGAATCTTGGTTTACATAGTATTGATAACTGAGAGAGGCCCAAGAATAACATCATAATGATTTCCAGGAAATGCTGATTTACAAAGATGAAAAAAATATTTACTGCATCTTTAAGCCATCCAGTGTTCACACGATTACTGATTTTTCCAGTATGTGAACTTCAGTCAGTTGAGTAAGGAGAACTCAGCTAGAAGAAAAGAAGGAAAAGATTAGTCTCACGGCAGTTACAGCTGTGTTCATGCAAAACCAGCTGCAGATGAAACCTTCTCTGGCTCAAGGTAACTGCAGTGTCATTTTGACAATCTAATGCAAACCGGTAAGGATCTGAGGATCCTGTTTCTAGTTCTTTACAAAATATAGGAAAGCTTATTAGAAAATACTGTGGGCAACAAACAGTTGCAATAAAAATGATATATATTTTTATATTAACTCTTGTGGTTCTTGCAGCCTATGGATATGTATAGCAGGGTTCTTACTGGAGTCTTTGTTTTCCCAATGGGTAGGGGAATCTGGAGAGGTGGGAAATAGAAGGGAATTTAGCAAAACTGCAGAAAGTATAACTTGCTAAGACCGAGTTACTGAGATGTAGGATATTTTTCCCTGCTGCAGATTGCACTCTCGTTTCCTGCATCTCACGTGGTGCTTTTTATTGACATCTCATGGAGGAAAAGCGTTGCTTTAAGAACGCAGATTGTCTGCTTACTGTACCTAGCCGGCTCTTCCCAGGGTAGATCATGTTGTGTGAATTTGGGATGATAAAGAAAAAGCCTCACTTTCCTCATTCCCATTTAGCAAGGTAAATAGAATGGGAAAATGAAGGATTTCTTTAAAAATCTTCCAAAACTATTTTCTCCCCTAATTTCTAGCAGGACTTGAAAACATTTCTAGCAAGAGCCTCCAGAAATCCACCTACCATCTAGCAGCACTGAACAACTTTTCTAGTACCCTTAAAAACTGCAGCATGATTGTGTTTGACTCTCCCAATTTATCACCAGACGCATGCTTTTTGTGCATTATGACCTGAAGAGATGGCAGCTGGTTTGGAGCTCTGGACAGAGCTGGTTTGAGAATTACTGTTCATCCTAAAAGTAACCAAAAGTGTTTGCAGCCTGATGATAAGCAAAAGTGAAGCCAACTTTTCGCTGCCGAAACTTTGGGAAATGAAAATGCATACGTAGTTTGCATTTTGGAGGGTCAGAGCTGTTTTCATATGTGTAACCCAAACAACAAATGAGCGGGGACATGTCTCAGATTGGGTGTGGTAGGTTTTAATCAGCATTTTCATTCAAGCCAGTATTTCAGTTTTAGCTGAAGGACTAGTTTGTCATGAGCACTATCAGAGGAAAAGGTGAGGAAGCAAAACAAGGTATTTTGCTCTTGAGCAGATCTTCAGCTTCTTGTATATTAAAGAGCTCCTCTATTTGTATTTAAAGTTTAACTATGCTTCTAATCATTGACAGTCAGGATTCTAATTTAGTTTTGTTCTGTTTGTGGGTGAGGAGGAGTGTTTGCAGGGAGGCATTTGAAGGGGAGTTGACAGGCTTTTAAATACGTAACTGAAGATCATAAATCATTGAACATACAGAAAACTAGGAGCTAGTATTAAAGAAGGATGTTTTCTTTTAACGCTGTTAAAGCCAAACCACTGCTGTGTTTTCTGGTAGAAGTCTGCTGGACAAATCCCCAGTGGGTAAACATCAGTGCTCTAAGTACTCTAAGCCATGATGATTCAGAACATAATTTCTAGTCAGTAAGTAAAAGAGGAAAATATTTTTAATAGGATATTGGTACAGTGTTTCCCCAGTCTTTCTATATATTTAGTGAATATTAGTTTTATTTGCTAAAAATGTTTTAATTGACTTTTTAATTTCTCACTTTGGTACCTCGTGTAGAAACTTGCAGCACTGAAAAATTGTGCAAGTTTGCCAAACCGGAAATTTTTATGTTCCTTGTGCAGCTTCCCTGAGCAAGTCAAGTCCTTTGTGCTATCTACAGAACTTGTCTAATTGTTACGTATTTGTCAGTGTAAAGGTTTTGTTTGTGCAAGGACTCTGGGATCTTTCCATTATGACATTCTGACACGCTGGCCAGTGAACCATGACAATTTCATACAACACAGTGCTTCCAAGTATGCTTACAGCATCTTGTCCCATTTAGAATAGGAAATGTCTGCACCGTTGTTTCAGAATGTAATAGAGCAAGTGATGAAAGAGCTGTAATTTTTTCATAATTGTACAAGCAGCCTTTTTATAACCAACATCTGTTGTACATGTCCTGATTGCTTAGTATTAACTTAGGAATGAAGAAATTTACAACATACGGCAGTTTCGATCACTGTGGGACTCAGGTGTTCTCTCAGCACAGCATAAACACTTGGAGACATTGGAAGAAGATCTGATGGAGAATGTGGATCTGTAGAATCATTTAAGCTTAAAAAAAAAAAAAACCACAAAAATAATCTTAAAAGCAACCTAAATCCCTCTAACTTGATGCACAGCAGTGGAGTAGGGTGAATGCTGATTAAGTTAGTTAAGCCTGTACTCGGCTTGGTGGTGGCTCTGTAAGCACATGCCATTAACCTGGTATATGTTTAAAAATGTAGGATAGAAAGAGAATAAACCTCACTCTGTAATGTTAGCTGCTGGAGAGAAAAAGGACACAGTGAAAGATGAGTAGATCAGAGTACCGTAATGTCTGCATCCAATTTTTACAAATGTTTTACCACATGGGTAGAAAAACACTGTAGAAGTGAAGTTCTTTACTTCCCTTTCTTGTCTTTAGCAGTCCTTAGCCAAATGAAAATAGGCAACGTGTTGCTATCCCAAACTATTTGAATGGGGGAAGGGAGGCAGGGAAAACTTTGAAACAGTATGTAAATTTAATAAAAATAACATTTTAAGTGTAATACATTTTTAAGGGTACTTACATTTTGGAGACTGGGATAAATACGGAAGGAACATAACCTTTGCCTCCTCCATCTGAGGGCTTTGAGACTAAAAATCAATATTAGAGAAATTAACCATTGCCTAGTAATTTTATTATTTATTTGAAATTTATTATCTGCTTTAAATGCTGCAGACTGTAATATGTTAAAAAAGAAATGTCCCTGTTTATGCTTAAAAAAGCAGCCATAAAAATGAGGGGAATTCCTGAGATTAGTCTTTGAGTTCAGGTCTTAGTCACATAATTGGCTGTGCTTCCTCGATATGAATTGCCATCCCACAATATAATACAGCAACTGATGAAAGAGATCTCGTTAGGGCTTCAAAAGCCAATATACTGTAACTCTACAAGCTTGGTACTTCTGAGCCTCTAGATTTCAGTTCTGCAAGCGTTTGCATGGAGCTCTATCTCTACAGGTACAGCTTCAGCAATGTCTTTTGCATGAAATTAAGCATATACATAAGTTTTTAGAGGATTGGAACATTAGGCAAAGTTCACTGAATTGAAATGAAGAGGAAAAATACTTGTAGCCTCCAAATATTTTTGAGTCGTG